ATGGATTTTCAAATCAGGTTTGAATCAAGTTTCACTTTCGGAGAAAAAGCTTGGTGCAATTGTGGATAATCCCATTTCAACTTCACCAGGAACCTCCCTTCAAAAAATTCAAGTCTTGGATTTATCTCACAATTCGTTTTCTGGGGAAATAACATCTGATGTTGGGGTTTTGAGCGGCTTGCAGCTCTTGAATTTGTCAAGGAACTCCATCATTGGGCCTATTCCAGGAACTGTTGGAGAGTTGAAGGCTTTGGCTGTTCTTGATTTGAGTCAAAATCAGCTTAATGGAAGCATTCCTATGGAAATTGGAGGAGCTTACTCCTTGAAGGATCTGAGGCTCAATGAGAATTTCCTAGAAGGGAAAATTCCTATGTCAATCGAGAATTGTACTTTGCTAATGTCTTTGTAAGTTCCTCCATGTCTTTAATATGATTTGTGCTTTTTAACTTTTTCAATTTTAGGTAGGCTGTCTGCATTGATCTACATGTAGTTAGGTCAATTTGTAGGTTTTTTAATGCTCAGAGTATGTTATTATACTCGATTAGTTCCTTGATATCTTGATAACTTAATTTATAGTCATAGAGTTACCTTCAAAGCGAAGATGAGTTTTGGTGGGTAAGCTTCGATCTATTTGCTCAAAGGTTTTATGAGTTCTGGATTATGTTTCTTTGACATAATTAATTTAAATTTGAAACCTCCATTTTTTGTTGTCAGATTTTCTATTGCATTGGTATTTCATTGGTGTTTGATATAGAAAACATGTGGAAAGCTTTTCCTGCAATGATACGTTGATGTGTCATACATTCTCTTGATCGCACATTTGTGTGGAAAATTTGGTTCCTGCACGTGTCTGTTGGGTCTTCTTTCCTTTTGGACTGTTCATATATGTGATTGTAGATTCATATGCTACTTAAGAACTAATTAAGTTTGAATTTGTTGACATTGGGGCTTCAGAAACATATTTATTTACGTCTAAATCTAGAAACAGGAGAATGTCCAAATTTGTTGTCATTGAATGCTTTAGTATTCAGCTGTCAATTTTACATCAGATTCAATATTGCTGAAAGCAGGCAGTACATCATTCTAAATTTCTTTTCCATTTTCTTTTGTTGTTGAATTGTGTAGGATCATATCTCAAAACAACCTGAGTGGCACGATACCTGCCGCAATTGGAAAACTGAGCAACCTACAAAATGTGGATTTGTCTTTCAACAGCCTTGTAGGAACCTTACCCAAGCAATTGGCCAATCTACCCAACCTCTTGTCCTTCAACATTTCTCACAACAATTTACAAGGAGAACTGCCTGCTGGTGGATTTTTTAACACTATATCACCCACAGCTGTCTCTGGCAATCCCTCACTTTGTGGATCTGCAGTTAACAAATCTTGCCCTGCTGTTCTCCCTAAACCCATTGTCCTAAATCCTAACTCCTCTTCTGACACCATTACTGGTGATTTACCTCCAAATGTTGGTCACAAAAGGATAATTCTCAGTATCTCTGCCCTGATTGCTATTGGTGCTGCCGCGGTCATTGTTGTTGGAGTCATTGCCATCACTGTCCTTAATCTACGTGTCAGGTCATCAACATCCCGGTCTGCTGCAGCCCTCACTTTATATGCTGGGGACGACTTTAGCCACTCCCCTACAACAGATGCCAATTCTGGCAAACTTGTCATGTTTTCTGGTGAGCCTGACTTTAGTACAGGAGCACATGCTCTGCTCAACAAGGATTGTGAGCTTGGGCGTGGTGGGTTTGGAGCAGTGTATCGAACAGTTTTGCGAGATGGGCGCTCAGTGGCAATCAAGAAACTCACTGTCTCAAGTCTTGTCAAGTCACAAGAAGAATTTGAAAGGGAAGTTAGAAAATTAGGGAAAATAAGGCACCCTAATCTTGTGGCTCTTGAAGGCTATTACTGGACTCCCTCACTGCAGCTTCTCATTTATGAATTTGTGTCTGGTGGAAGTTTGTACAAACATCTCCATGAAGGATCAGGTGGAAATTATCTTTCGTGGAATGACAGGTTCAGTATCATTCTAGGGACAGCGAAAAGTTTGGCTCACTTGCACCAATCAAACGTTATTCATTACAATATAAAGTCAAGCAATGTCCTTATTGATGGCTCAGGTGAACCTAAAGTGGGAGATTTTGGCCTAGCAAGGTTGTTGCCGATGCTAGACCGCTATGTTTTAAGCAGCAAGATTCAGAGTGCACTCGGCTACATGGCACCTGAGTTTGCCTGCCGAACAGTGAAAATAACTGAGAAATGTGATGTGTATGGATTTGGCATTTTGGTTTTGGAAGTGGTTACTGGGAAGAGGCCTGTTGAGTACATGGAAGATGATGTGGTGGTGCTCTGTGACATGGTCCGAGGAGCACTGGAAGAGGGCAGGGTGGACGAATGTGTTGATGGAAGGCTGCAAGGAAAATTCCCAGCCGAGGAGGCAATTCCAGTGATGAAACTAGGCTTGATCTGCACGTCACAAGTACCATCAAATCGGCCAGATATGGGAGAGGTAGTTAATATATTGGAATTGATAAGATGCCCCTCAGAAGGCCAAGAGGATTTGGGATGAGTTTTAACTAATACTTTAAGGAATTGAAAGATTTATAAGGGGTTATCCGGCGAAGAAGAATCCGGTTTGTTCAGTCGATCAAAGAGAAGAAATATTTGTTTGTTGGAATCGTTTTTTTCCCTTTTGTTGTATTGTTTCTTCACTTTTTGATTTTCCAGTTCACCTTTGTGATTTCTTCTCTATGTTATAGTTAGGTTGCCGGATTCTTTTTCACCGGGTTCCATTTTGGGACCCCTTTGGATATTGTTACCAAGTTACTAATCTGCAGTCTTTCGCAGTTTTTGTTCCCTTGGCATTGTTTCATATGATGAACTGATAGTGTCATTAGGTTCTATATGATAGCCAGTAACCAAATTGAGCTGGGAACTGAGCTCTGTTCCATTGCACAACAGAAGGCATTCTTTACATCTTTGGGATGTTTCCTTGTCCATGGCTAATTGTTTTGACATAATTGGTCTCTAAAAGGATGATCTTCTATAATTACCAGAATATCGTGGTAGTGGTTTTTGACATTGCAGTCAAGGGCAAATCTGAACTTTCACGGCTTCATAAAAAATGCGAGCTCCACCTACCAAACTCATGTGTTTTCAATGATGGCCAATGGTGAAGACATGGAAAACACACATGTTACAAGTCAAAAGTGACTTAAAGAGCCTCAGGACTACCAAAGATTCTCAGCACCCACTCTGAGGCAATTTTATCGTTAGTGCTGTATAGAATAATGCAAAAGTTGAAAAAGTGGGATGAAAGAAGGAAAAGAGTTAGTACTGCCTTCAAGATAACGATGTTGAAGGTATGGAAATAGAATATTATAACATGATTCCTGTCGGAATAGAAGCTCTCCTTTCATGTTTTGCCAACCATGTGTAAATATAGGTTCAAATACCCACTCTGGTTTTTTGTTTAGTCTTTGTTAGCTCTCATCATTTCTATTCTGTCACATGAATTGCTCCTCTCTTTCCCACTGTTCATTGCCATGAGAGGATCTTTAATGAATGTGATGCTACCCTTTAACTTATTATGTTTCACAAGATTAGTTTAGTTGGAAAGTGGAGGGTTGACAGAGGGACAAGTTAAAGCATTTTTGTAGTTTACCCACAGTTTCTTGTTCTGTAAGAAAGAACATTTTACCTTGGGGAAGAAAAAAAAAACTGCCTTCTTCTTGGAGTTTGAGGTGGGGAGTCAAAGAATATAAATGTCCATAACCATGTGCATGGATTACAAAGCAATGAGTTGTGTCCCTAGGGCAGTCAGCCAAAAGTTATAAAAATAAAATGGTTGTTGGGCCCAAGATAGCCTAATTGGTTGGAATTGTCATAATCAACTAAGCCACATGGGTGCTCTTATCTTAACATAAATCTCAATTTTTTGTGTTAAAAATGGAATATCCAAATCTCTTCATCCCTGGAAATGACAGAAAGAAAGTGCCTACTTTTATTTATTTATTTTTTGGGGTAGTCTTTAAAGTGCTTGGGCATAGTATTTGTTGCTAATGTTTATATATATTTAATCTCCATATATCATCCCACCAGCTTATCATTGATTTGATCAGCTTGTAGTGGGGCAACATGGAGTTTTGGAATAGCTACATGAATAAACACATAGGCACAATGCTGCTGTCTCAGGCATCAGATTAGAAAATCAAATTAAGCCTTTAGGCTAGGTCCTGTAGCTTTTCGCTTTTGAAAGTGAAATAAACTTCTTTTTTCTTCTTTTTGTTCTCCCAAAACTTGCTTGCCAACTTTTGCTGCTTAGGGATAGGGGTATTACTGAGGCAAACAGTTGTAAGTTGAGGATAAAGTGTTTGCTCATTAGGATATGGAAAATCCTTGCTTTTTATTGAGTGGCTAAAATGATAACTACTTCTCAACTTTTTTGCCAAGAACATAGAGCAGTGGGGATGGTTTTGGAGTTTATGATGTTGGGTTGGTGCCTGGAGGGGGCAATGCACCTCTACCAACAGATGCCCACTTGATGCAGTCATGCAGATCAACATTCTCATAAACCAAGCTTGGGGGGGAAAAATTTTGGTTAGAATTCTGTTCTCTTTCTGTCAAAAGCTGCATCCTCAGATGTGATCAAGAAAGTTAAAAACCTGTTATCAGCAAACAGCATATATCACTGTGGGGAGCTGGTTTGTTGTTGAGTTAAAACAATCTGCTTGGACAATAATCGTTGTGGGACAAAAGACTATTGTTTGGTTCCACAAATCTTGGCTTTTTCCCACTTTTTCTAGAATCCAATTCAAGGCAGTAAAATGAGAACCACAAAAAAAAAAACAGAATCATGTCACAGCTTCTTTGAAGAGTTAATCAAAGTATACATCAATGGAAAAGATTGAATAGCAACTGAATAACTTCTTTTTAAAAAACAGCATCAGACTTTGATTTAAAAGACCAAAGTTGTTTTTATTAGTCCAATTCAAAGCCTCCTGAAATAAACACACAAGTGTGACACAAGGAACACTCTCTTATATCTAATTCTTAAGATATCAAAGTAGGTGTTGTCCTTCTCATGGTTATCATTTTCGTGATAAGTCCATTATCCCTGCACTTTTTGACATATAAATATAACAAAGATGTCTCCATTTATTGCTAATATAACAAGTTCTCAGTCTTTTCTCTAGTCATCCCAATCATTTTCTCATCCATCACTCTTGGTAGACCTATTATTAACCAGAAGCAAACCCAGTCGGTGACCCATTTTTCCCCGAGTTTGGTGTTTCATGAGGTGACTTTGCCCATATGGGCCTGATCTCAAACCAATCAGCCGATCTCTTCTCAACTTTTCTGCTGTTTCCAGTGTTTCAGGATTGTTTGATTAGCCTAAGCTGAGTCAGGCTTGCCCCATTACAAGCTCCTCGTATGGGCCGGATCCCATTACAAACTGTTCCTTCGTTCCCAGCCCTGTAGATAGGAAATTAAAGTTGCCACGTCAGAACCCCAGAGGAGAAAAAAAAAAAAAAAAACCTCCATTACTAATTCAGTGAGAAGTGTAGGGTTTAAGGTTTTGGGGCCTTGAGGAGATTAACAAAGCAGAACACTGGAAGACTATTTGGTAAGCAATTTCTACATCAACTAAACCCCAATATTTTCCACCTGATAATTTCAATGCTTCATCGTTTAAGTCGTAGATTTTGCCCTAGAAATCTCTACTTCACTCTGACACTAAACCCTAGCTCTTCAAGAAAAGTTAATTCTAGTAAAAATGGAATCGATAAGTGTTCCAATAGCTTCAGTTTTTTCAGCTCGTCAATGGGTATCGATCAAATTTCCCCCTTTGTTCCTTTATTGAAAACCCCCAAAGTTATTACAAACCCTACTTTTGTTAGAAGTTACTGTTCTCGTGAGTGGACCGAGGATATAGAGTACTTAGATGAATCGGGGAGTGTTATATACTCCGGTAAAGGTATTCGGTCTGTTGAGCCGGGGCTTGATGATCATGTCATGGTGGGTGGGTTAAAGAAGCCAATTATGAATGCCTCAGCCGTTGCTAAGATTGTTGAGGTTGTTAAGAGGTGGAAATGGGGGCCAGAATTAGAGAGCCAGTTGGATAAACTACAGTTTATGCCTAATATGATTCATGTAACTCAAGCCATGAAGGTTGTTAAAGATAGTGATGCATCATTGAGTTTGTTTAGATGGGCCAAGAGACAATCTTGGTATGTTCCGAGTGATGAGTGCTATGACATATTGTTTGATGGGTTAAACCAAAGTAGAGATTTTGATGCGATTCAGTTACTGTTTGAGGAGATGGTTCAAGAGTCTAGTGATAATGGTGTTTCCTTGTTTACTGCATGTAATAGGGTGATTCAGTATTTAGCTAAAGCTGAGAAATTGGAGGTGTCATTTTGTTGTTTCAAGAAGGCTCAGGATTATGGTTGTAAAATTGATACACAAACCTACAATGCTCTTATGATCTTATTTTTGAATAAAAGTTTGCCTTACAAGGCATTTGAGATATATGAAAGCATGCAAGTGGCAGGATGTTTGTTGGATGGATCAACCTATGAGTTGATAATACCTAGCTTAGCAAAATCAGGACGTCTTGATGCAGCTTTTAAGCTGTTCCAAGAGATGAAAGAAAGGAAGTTTCAGCCAAGCTTTAGCATCTTTGCCTCACTTGTTGATTCAATGGGGAAAGCCGGGAGACTGGATACATCAATGAAAATCTACATGGAAATGCAGGGATCTGGGCTACGACCATCTGCTACTATGTTTGTTTCTTTGATTGAGTCCTATGCAAAGGCTGGGAAACTAGATACTTCACTTCGGCTTTGGAATGAGATGAAGAATGCTGGTTTTAGGCCGAATTTTGGCTTATACACCATGATCATTGAGTCTCATGCAAAATCAGGAAAGCTTGAGACGGCAACATCTATGTTTAAAGACATGGAGAAAGCTGGATTTCTACCCACTCCATCTACCTACTCGTGTCTCTTGGAAATGCATGCAGCCTCTGGACAGGTAGATTCTGCAATGAAGCTTTATAACTCAATGATAAATGCAGGCTTGAGGCCTGGATTGAGCACGTATACTGCCCTTTTAACACTATTGGCTAATAAGAAACTTGTGGATGTTGCAGCAAAAATATTGCTTGAAATGAAGTCCATGGGATTTTCTGTTGATGTGAGTGCTAGTGATGTTCTAATGGTTTATATTAAGGATGGTTCCATTGAGCTTGCCTTGAAGTGGTTAAGGTTTATGGATTCATCAGGGATTAGAACAAATAATTTCATAGTTAGGCAGTTGTTTGAATCATGTATGAAGAGCGGTTTATATGAGTCAGCAAAGCCTCTTCTTGAAACCTATGTGAGCTCTGCTGCAAAGGTGGATCTAGTTCTTTGCACATCAATTCTTGCCTATCTGGTACGATGCCAGGAAGAGCACAATGAGAGACTTTTGATGGAAATCCTTGGTGCTACAAAGCACAAGGCTCATGCTTTTATGTGTGGACTCTTTACCGGCCCAGAACAGAGAAAACAACCAGTCTTATCATTTGTGAGAGAATTTTTTCAAGGTATTGATTATGAGCTGGAAGAGGGGGCTGCAAGGTACTTTGTCAATGTTCTCCTCAATTACCTTGTTCTCATGGGGCAGATAAACAGAGCTCGCTGTGTTTGGAAAGTTGCCTATGAGAATAAGCTTTTCCCAAAGGCAATAGTTTTCGATCAGCATATTGCTTGGTCTCTTGACGTTAGAAACTTGTCAGTGGGAGCTGCTCTTATAGCGGTCGTGCACACCCTCCACAGATTTAGGAAGCGAATGCTGTATTATGGAGTTATCCCTAGGCGCATCAAATTGGTCACAGGACCCACTCTGAAGATTGTGGTTGCACAGATGCTGAGCTCTGTAGAATCCCCATTTGAAGTAAGTAAGGTTGTTTTAAGGGCGCCCGGGGACTCTGTGATGGACTGGTTTAAAAAGCCAATTGTTCAGCAGTTCCTTTTGAATGAGATTCCATCAAGAGCTGACATCCTCATGCACAAGCTGAATATACTTTTTCCCAGTTCAGCACCTGAAATTAGATCATTGTCCCCGCCTAAGCCACTCATTGCAGGGAAGGCAATGTAACCATGTATAAAACTTAGCTGGGACTGCAGAGGCTACCCATCTGTGAAGCCTGATTGTAAGGTAGTGGTTTATTTGCATCCTCATTCTTTTTTTTTTTAATTTGTAAATTCAGTTTAACGTATTGTCCAAAGAGGAATAAGATGTTTATAGTCTTTGGTCATAGCCTGATATCCTTACTAATACAAGAGGCTTTTTGGTTTGAGTTCAAATTCTTGTTTATGAACATTCTATCAAAAGCTGCATCCTCAATTGTGATAAGAGTGAGAAACTTGTTAGCAACAGACATCTTCAAGTTTGTATTGAGTGCTGGTTTGCTGTTGAACAAAGTTTTACAGGCCAAAATTGTTCTCATTGCTTCTAACTTAAACAGTAGACTATTGCACAAGGAACACTTGAATTTTTCATTCCCTGTGAGAGAAAAAAGGCGGTTCTGATATCTAATTTTTCGTTCTACAACACTTTTCATTTTTCCCTATTGCTGATTCTCATCCTAATCATCCCAAGTATTTTTCTCACCAACTCTTTTGGGTGGCCTGGAAGTAAGGCTGTTACCTGATCCATTTGCCATTTGATGTCCTGTTGCTGTGTCTGACTTTAACTCATCCCAGTCACCATCCCAATCTTGTTCCCAACCTCCATCTGTTCCCACATTGTTAGCTGAAGGTGAATCAGGTTGCTGCCCCATTTCAAGCTCCTGATATGGGATTCCATCGCCCTGCTGTCCCCTGTTCCCCCGGTTGTAGCAGGCCCAGGTACTACCAAAGATCAGACCTGTTAGAAGCACTAAGTAAACTCCGTTGATAGGGGTTACGTGTGTGGCAAAAGGGATATAATCGAAGATGCCACCGCTTGATGCCGGTGATCTTATGCGAATTACACACTCCAACTCTCCAGCCTCTAATAGAATGGATGAATTTCCTCCAAGATTTGCTGAAACATTAACCTACAACAACAAAAGCAGCAGAATGACTGATTGAAAATAAAGGGTTCAAATCAAATCAATGACCCAATGTTTTGAACTTGCTTTTGAGAAGTTCCATATTTGCAGCGGTACAAACTGAATGAAGCTTTCACTTCCAAATAATTTATTTTACGAGTCGGTTATTTGATTCAATGACAAAGTGCATATATGATATGCTCAAAGCATTGAGTCATCTTTATCTAAAATAGAACACTTCAGATATTTTTCAACACATTTCGTCCGAATTTAACATCTTTCATCTAAACCTTTTCCAACTAAAAATGAATTTTTTTTCCCTGTCATAAAAAGGAGTTTGAGAAAAAGCAACAGAAGCCATAGAAATGAAACCTTATTTATTTTGTGTGCTGCTATTAGGATGTCCTTGATGAGAAGCTTAGCATGTGAGACAGTGACTTTCACTTCTAGGGGTTTCTCACCATCATTCCTGACAAGTAGTAATAATTCCTTTGAAGCTACATACAGAAAACAAAGAAATATTACTTCAGCATTTCCCTCACATAAAGAAAGCCAATTCTTCCAAGTTTCCTCATGGCAGCATTAAGCAAGTAGAAGGAAAGTTACCCAGTAAGCAATTCATAGCAAAAGGGCAAGAGTGCAATCCATATATTATTTATCACAAGTGCAAGAGTTGATGCCAGTTTAAATAAAATTTATCATTTTCCATTTTTCTTGAGACTAGAGGTGAAAACTAAACTGACATATCAATTTTTAATATCTGAATATAATTATTATTAATAATAAAAAATAATGAATTTAATTAAACCGATCAAATATAAATTGATTTCGATTATTTCAATTTTAAAATACAAATCGGTCGGTTTGATTATTTACAGAGAGTTTTATTGATTTGATTTTTTTTTTTGAAATTTAAATTCAATCCAATGAAATCGGCCGAAATTAAAGGTTCAAGCTTCAAATACTAGTAATATGTTGGAAGAACAACGTGCCTGATTTTACCTGAATAATAAAACAGAACAAACTTAAAATTAATCGTTTGTTCATATTTAATCAATTACGACGGCGATTTTCTAAACTTACCGGATGACGAAGGATCAATGCACGCCGCTAAACTACGGTTACGGCAACTCTCTGAAAACAGCCAACACCCGGCATCACTTGGCCCAGGCGCCGGTGACGGCGACGGAGACGGCGATGGTGACTGCGACGGAGACGGCGACGGAGAAGACTTTAAAAAAAAAAAAGAGCAGCAAAATTTTCATTATTCTCTTCCAAAATAAAAAAAAGAAAAATTAAAAAAAAATACCAGCGGAGATCCAGAAACCGGAGATGGAACACGGGATTGACGAGAGAGCGTCAGGAGAGTGAAAAAGAAGAAGAAAAAAATTGAAAGGATTTTCTTGGAATCCATATTGCTTCCAAGTCTCTGATCTTTCTAAGCCCTAAACCTCTCCCCTTTAAGTCTCCATTTACAAGAATTTCCATTTGTCCGTTTACTC